GCTGAGGGGACTTACACTGATCCCGTCACCAACAGGCCATGGCTTGCGGCACATATATATGTATGCATATACATATATATGATTGGAAAGTTGCATTTCGAGCCAAAATGAGCCGAACACGAATGAACAAATCTTTGTTCGTGTTAAATCGAACACAAAAAAATTATTCGTGTTCTGCTCGCTAAGTTAGCAAATGAATCGAACACGAGCATCTTAAGGAGCCAAACAAGAGCTGTTCGCGAACAACAAGCGGTTTCGACAACCCTATGCGTGTGTGTAGTAAGTAACAAACTGTATGTATGAAAGCTATTAGCAAAATTAACAGAATTTTTTTTCATTTTTCTAATTATCACTCAAATATCAAAATTGGTAACCCATATTTTTCATTTTTACCATATTGACAATAATTTGATTTTTGCAGTTTAAATCAATGATCTAGACGTTAATTTTATAAATATTAAAATTTTTTAAGTCCTATGCATGTAAATTCCCCAAAAATCGTTTACTCTGCTTCAATAAAATGGTAATTAATTCTTTCAGGAGCGCTAAAACAGCCGGACAAATAAAAAAACAAAAAAGAAAGAAAAAAAAATCCAAAAGTAGCAACACTTTCTCCCAAAAAAATACCTGGTCAGTGGTCACCATTTCTCCCCGTCGCTTCAGTTTTTCCAAAGAAGAGGGAGAAAACTGAGCTGAGGGGCATCCTCTGTAGAGGGAAGAGGAAACTCATGGATGTAGGATTCTTAGGTCTGGGAATCATGGGCAAGGCAATGGCCCTCAACCTCCTTCGAAGCGGATTCCGTGTTACGCTCTGGAACCGAACTCTCTCCAAGGTGCCCCTCACTCTTTCTCTCTCTCTTCCCATAACATAAATTCTAATCGGATTGGGGAATTGAATGTTCATTATTTATTTGAAGCTGTTATTAAGGTTATCCATCTGCTGGTTTATGGTTTTGTTTGAGGTCATCTATCTCGGTACTGGCCGACTAGTTTTCTGAATTTCACGTTTCTGCAGGTTAATTTTGTTTAGTGTATTTTTAATGTATTTTACTTTGGTTATCAATCTTGCACAGGGGTTTTGGTGTTAATTGATTCAAAAATGCTATCTTAGATCGTCTAAATCTCGGTGGAAGAATTACAGCTGTAAGGATTTAACTCAAGTAGGAGTTAGTAAATACCGTAAGGTGGCGTTTGGTAGTGTATTATGTATAGGATTTAATCATGGATTTAGCTTAAATCCATAAAAACACCCAAAAAACAGAAAAAATTAATTCCAACACTCCCTTAATTCCAATTTTCTATTCATCTCGCGTTACGTTACATTTGAGACATAAATCCAGATTTCGTAAATCTAATTGTGAGCCGGATTTATTACGCCTTCGCTCGCAATCTCTTCTCGTCACCAACTAGATTTGATAAATCCGGATTTATCGGATTTGATAACGTTGAAATTTGGAATAATGCGGAATACTTCATTATTTCATTGATATGAACTGGGGTATAAATAACATTTACAAGAATCCTATAATAAGAAATATAATAAAAAAGAAATGATTTGAAAGGAAAGATATATCACATGATATCTCCAATAATTAATTCATATTAATTATTAAGAGATATAAAAAATAACATAAAATACATAAAATAGGAAAACAAATGAAACAAATGATTCTTAATCCAAAGAAATGCATAGAAAATAGAAAAGGAAAATTTTCTTATATTAAGGAAGTAATTTATTCCTCATAACTTTTTATAGGAATAAATTATTTTCTATTATAATTGTTAACACTCCCCAAAGTTTGGAATGTATGTTAATAATTCCTAACTTGCTGAGTAGTGAAGAAAAATTGGTCATTTGGATTATCGAATTTGCTAGATTCAGGCTTGGCTGAATTTTGAGTTTTATATGTCATATGTTTCAGCGTAGAAGAGAGATTCAGACTTGACTGAATTTGCTGGATTCAGACTTTGATGAATTTTGTGTTTTGTTTTCTATATGTTTCAGTATAGAAGAGAGATTTAGGTTTGACTGAATTTATTGGATTCAGACTTGACTGAATTTTGAGTTTTGCAGGGAAAAAGAGACAACCTATAGGAAAACTAACTTTTAGTTGACTGCAGTTGTCGTTAGCTGCAGAAAAAAAAACATGTAAATCACACCCAGTAAATTCTGCTGACAGAGAAAACAACAAAAGAAAGGGAGGCTGGAAACTGAGTTCCTCCTGACGCTTTGACTAGAGAAGAAAAAAAAAATACTGCAGGAGAAATGAATGGCTAGAAACACGGCTCCTCCTGACGCTTGGGCAGGAAAAAAAAAATACTGCAGGAGAAAGGGCTGACGATGGATTTTGTCGGCATTATTCGATCCACGACAGCGATATCTCCGATGAGATGATAATGAGACGGGTGGCGGCATCGCTTGTGTTGCCCTGGCTGGAGCTCCATCGTTGGTTCCGGCATAGGAGGATGCGACACATAAAGTTTTTGGATGGTTTGTGGTGATATATGACCAAACTCCAAAGCATCTTTGCTATCATGGTTTCTTGGGAGGCGTGTACAGAAGTGAAGTAAGATCCCCCGACTTTCTGAAAGACCTTAGAGAAGGAGAATCCTCCAAAACATCAGCCTGTGCATTTCTAGGCAATGGTGGTGGCAACAAGCTTCTAGTCGAATCCAAAAAGTTAGGAGTGCGATGCAGATGGTTCCTCCCCATCATCGACTGCGGTATGCTGACTGGAGGAGTCTCTGATTGCAATCTAGTCTGCAAGGCATTAGCCGCATTGGTAGGCGAAAATGGAGTAGGAGACGTCGAGAACATAGAAAAGAGCCGATACTCCTCAAAACTGAAGCTACAATTTCTATGACCAGGTCTGTATCCATTGAAATCTCTTCGTGGAACACGATTAATGGGTGAAATCGATAACTTGGGTGAAAAGCTACCGTGCGGAGGGGAGCTAACATAGCTCTTGTGAGGGCTGCGACTCGATCTATATGGTTCATTATATTGATATTTGTGGCGATTGTTACAGTAAGTTTGTCATGCAAAATTTAGATTTCCGCACGACGGATTGTGGCATATCCAATCACCGTCCCTTGGTGACAAATTTGGATCATTTATGTGGACAAACTCTCCTACATACGAGGGCATTATATGTGTGGTTGAATTGATCCCTCTTGTGTATGGTCAGCAACCCCTCCCGATGTAGGGGGTGAGAAGTCGCGAAACTTGCCACCTCCTCCTCTCCCTTGCATTCCACGATCTGAACGTGGTCCACAAGGGTGCCTAAAATCCGGTTCAAAATAACCATCATCCACCCTTGGCCGGCGCGGTGGTGAAATAGAACCTGGACGTTGTATGTGCCCTGGATCATTCTAAAACCTTTGAGACCGTAGATGGAATGCCAGAGGGGACCTCTGCCGTCGAAGACCAATCGCAGAACCACGCTGCTGTAGACTAGGTTGGGGCTCACGGTGGCGGAGTCCGTCAGGAGACCTCCGGAGATGCAGCGGCGAGTAGCCCCCATGGTGTCTTCTAGACGACGGGGAATCACGGGGATGAAAATCTTGCGGAGAATTAAGTTGGCGCTGATGCGGCGGGGAACCACAATGACGATCATCAGTGTCATATCCGATGTCAATATCAATCCCTCCGCCATTGCTGGCAAGAGGCTTGATGACCATGCTGCTGAGGTTGACGCCAATGCACAGACCCGGAGACGGCGATAGGGATAGTGCCTATGGTTCAGACTCCGAGGCAACATCGAGATCGAACTCACGAGAGCATATCTTTGTGATTCTTTCCATGCCTTCTGTAACCTAACGAGGCGACGCATAATTAGGGATTTGGAGAAGAAGAAAAATCATTGTTTCAAATATCAAGATGATTGTCCCTTCCTTCCTGTACAGAGGATGACAAGAAGGGAGTCCAACAATTCTCAAAGGAGTACCGGTGGTTAGGGTACGAAACCTTGCTCTGATACCATGTTAAAATTTATAATAATGCAAAATATTTCATTATTTTATTGACATGAACGGTGTTATAAATAACCCTTACAAGAATCCTATAATAGAAAAAATAATAAAAATGAAATGATATGAAAGGAAAGATATATCATCGATATCTCTAATAATTAATTAATATTAATTATTAGGAGATATAATAAATAACATAAAATAGGAAAACAAATAATTCTTAATCAAAGGAAATAAATATAAAATAGGAAAGAAAATATCTCATTATATTAAGGAAATAATTTATTCCTCATAAATTTTTATATGAATAAATTATTTTCTATTATAATTCTTAACAGATAAATCCTAGCTAAATTAAATCTAACATTCTACTAAACACCGCTTTAGATTTCAATAAATCTTCTATGGGATAAATGATGAAAATTATTTAATATGATGGACTCTAAATCCTTTTAAATTTTGATAAAAGATTTGGCTATTTATTTCATTATTGAACGATATATATATGATTGTGATATTTCATTATTGAACGATATATATTTATGATTGTGATACTTTTTTATAATTCCTCTGCAACATTACCTGTAGGAGTCTTCCGCCTACCTACAGACATTGCAGGAACGGAAAACAAAGACAATCACAATTGTTTACTTCCTTGTAAACTCTCTTGCAACATTACATGTAGGAGACTTTCACCTACCTATAGACATTACAAGAACTGTAGTCAAAGACAATCATAGTTTACTTTCCTGCAAAATCCTTTGCAGCACCTGTAAGAGTTTTCCATCTACCTACAGACATTGTAAGAACTGTAGTAAAAAACAACCGCGGTTAACTAGAAGTCAGCTTTTTCTGCAAATTGTCTACTTATATACAAACTCCCATGCAATATTACCTAGAGGAGTTTTCCCGTACCTACAGACACCGTAGGAATTGCAATAAATGCAACCGAAGTATACGATGAAGACTTCAAGTTTTACTTCACAGGATTTTGCTTTCCCATTGTTTGATGTTTCAAATCCAAGTTAAACATGATTTTCTTTCGTGTTTCAACAGAAGTTGTATTGTAAATGCAACCAGTGTAAGAAGTTGTATTAGTAAAAAGTTTTAGAGGTTACAAAGAGGGGATTTTATAGTACAGTAGGAGTTAGCATTTTGATCTACATAGGAAAACTTAGGCCAATTCAGTCTCCTCCCCCTCCCCCGTCCCCCGTCCCCTGACTTTTTGCCACTGTACGAGTCTAGAACGGAAGGATTTTACGGGAGCGGGGATTCCTGGTTATACACCGGAGATCTTATGCTGAATTTAATCTTCAGACTTGGAGTTTCATAAGATGAGGATTCATTGATCCACCTGGGAGCATGGATTTTGAATTCCCAAATCAAATTTCATGAATAGGATTATGTTAATGGATTATGTATAGGCTTATTGAAGGAAAATTAATGAACAACCAAAGAGTTGTTGATGTTTTTACAAAAAATATGGTTGCTTTTGTGTCTAATTCGCTTCTAAGTATTCACAAAATACAAAAGGTAAAATTTTCTGATTCTATGCTACATATACTTAGGAGTTCTTCTCGAGAAACTCGAGTGATTTTGGACAAGGTGGCTTTGAGTCCTATCAGACACAGCTCAATCATTGAAGAAATAAAGTGAGGAATATTCAAACAATGTTGATGAGGAAATGTTGCTCTCTTTTTTGAATTTTCACCATATATTTTCAGGTGTTCTTTCTTTAATAATTTCGACCCATCACTTAAAAATGAAAATATGGTGATCTTTCTCATTTTATGAAGATCAGTTTGAAGTAAACAATGGGTGATGCGTCTCGAAAGGCCACAGTAATACGGGAAAGTTTTTC